ACTTTAGCAGAGAAAGGGCCCTCGGCAGTCACACATGGGAATCGCACACACAAGGGATAGAAGAAGCAGACAAGTCCAGGGCCAGTGATGACACACAGCTTAGGGTAAAAAAAAAAAAAAAAAAAAGTGGGAAGTGTGAATGGTGGGAGGGATGGGGAGCAAGGAAGAGGGGTAGTAGGAGGATACAGGAGAGAAAACTATGGAAGACAGAAGACGAAGGGTAATGTTCTTCCCAAGCCTCTGCTTCATTCATCTCACAGTGATGAATTCTGAGCTCTAGAAAACATCACACACAGATGGGATGGTGTATGTTAGGAACTCAGGCTCTGGACTTGAGCTGAGATCAAAACCCAGCTTGACCACTTGCTAGCTGTGTGATGGCAGGCAAGTGACTTAACGCACCCCTGCCAGGGTTTACTCAAATGTAAAATGAGGACAAAGATAGTCTCTGCCTTATGGGGGAATTATGAGAACTGAAAGAATCCGGGGGAAAGAAAACACACAGAACAGAGTCTGGCACACAGGTAGTGTTCAACAAATGTTAGCTCCTGTGACCTTTGTTGAAACAGAAGCCAGCCAGCCAACATTCAAAGAATACACACCAAACCGGGCATGCTGCCAGGGGCTGGAGCTAAAAAGAGGACCAAGACCATGATCCTGCCCTCCATGAGCTCACAGAGCAAACAGACTGGGAATCAATTCTGAGTTCAGGGCAGCATAGGGAGGAGCAAGTTCCAGAGATGAGAGAGCACTTGAGCCCGGCCTCAGAAATAACAAACTCTAGTGAATACAAGTCCTGTGGCTGTAGGACTCAGACTAGTGTTTGCCTCTATTGTGAGGTGGGGTGGGAAGTTGGCTGGAAGAAGCATGAAGGTTTCTAGGATGATGGAAGTATTCCATAGCTTGATTGGCTCTTAGGTAAAATGCCATCCAGCAAGCTGGCATGGTGTATGATGGCTATGTGGGTGTCTACATTCATCAAAATTCATTGAGCTGAACACTTAAGATCTGTGCATTTACTATATGCTAGCTGTATCTCAACCTATGTAAATTAGTTTACTGAAAATAAATTTTAAAGTGAGAACTGGCCTCAGTCATTAAGAGGAATGACATAGTTATCATTTGCGGCAACATGGATGGACCTAGACGAGTCATCCTGAGTGAAGTAAGTTAGAGGAGAAATATCGTATGGCATCCCTTATATGTGGAATCTGAAACAAGAAATGATACAAATGAACTTACAAATAAGAAGGAGACTCACGGACTGGGAAGAGGAACTTATGGTTGCCAGGGGGAGGAGATTGTTAGGGAGTTTGGGAAGGGCATGTACACACTGCTGCATTTAAAATGGATAACCAACAAGGACCTACTGTATAGCACATGGAACTCTGCTGTGTTACGAGCCAGCCTGGACGGGTGTGTGTGGGGGTAGTGGTGGTTGGGGTAGAAGGGATCCATGTACAGGTATGGCTGAGTCCCTGTGCTGTTCACCTGAAATTATCATTAATTAATTAATTATCATTAATGTGATATCATAATGACATCACAAAATCATTAATCGGCTATACCCCAATACAAAGTGAAAAGTTTGAAAAAAAAAAGAGTAAAATGAGTAGAACTGGGATTGGAGGGTCCTTCGGAAATCAGGAAAGTGTTTTCATTTCCTCTAACCACTTCCAGTAGACAAAGGTCCTGTCTAGACCTCAGTCTCCACGGAAAGAATGGTCAGGGAGAGCTGAAAGAGATGGACGGCCATGTGGCTGGGGCTTTGTGGATGTTGAATCCTGACCCCAGATGACCCAGGTGCAGAGCTGTGTCTGCAGTCTCCATTAAAGAGAGCGCATCTGCTCTGGGCTCACGGGGCAAAAATGAGGTCAGGTTCTGTCAAAGCCAGTGCGATTCACAGGCGAGCTCAACTTGCTGGATTGACAGCAACTGTTTAGTCATTACTGAAATTGCAGACATGAACCGGCCTACCTGCTGGGAAGAGAATTTCGGATAAACCGTGAACTTCAAAAAGTTTCTGCCTGGAAACTGAAGGGGTAACCATGGCAACCGGAGGCAGGTCGAGCTAGAAGAGGGCTCTTCATCTTGAGCAGGGAGCTTTGTGCTCCTGGATTCGCCCGTCTGTGCACCATGCATCAATCCCTTTGTCTCTTTCGCTTTCTTTGCTGAATGAAAAAGTACTAGCTCAGGAATCTGGAGACTGGGCCCAGGGTTCAGCTGTTTTTCAGCTCCAGTGCCCTTAACTAAGTGCCTTAACCACTGCCATTTTGCTGTCTGCAGAATAGACACTTAAAAGCTCCTTTGGCCTATTCACGGGGATACAGAAAGAACAGGAGGGTTTGAGGAGGTTTTCTGCCTAACCACTATTCTTGTTGTCATGTGACCATATCCAGGCTGATTCCAACGTGGCACCACCGAGGGAAAGACCGAGGGTTCAATCCACCCATAAACTAGCCTTTATTGCTTGGAGAAAAGGTATCCCAGGCCCCACCCATGTCCGCATTTGGCAGCTGTGTGATAAAAGTGTGCACTGGGGCAGGGGCAGCACCAGGTGAAAAAATAGCCATCGTCCCAGTTAATGCGTCATTGTGTGGACCAAGGACCATGCTGAGCAGCAGATGTTCAAAAAGGCCTCCTTCCGTGGCCTCCTGTCATGCCTTGCCCATCGCGCTGCCCCACACCAGTCCGGCCCTGGACTTGTGAGAAAGGCAGAACAAGAGCCAAGGTGGGTGAGACCGGGTGCAGGTGGATCCGGCACCTAGGATGGCACTGCTGCCTCTAACCCTGTGCTCCATGAACCAACCCTCTAATGGGCTGAGGCGCTGGGGAAGGCTCAGCTCTGGCTTCAGAGTGCATTAGACTTTGACTTCCTGGGTCAGCTCCCGCAGGCGCTGCCTTAAAAAAGGAACCTGCTTTGACAGAAGATCCCCCACGTGGTTCTGATTTGGGCATCATTTCCTGTAGTGATGCCTCAACGACTGTTTCAAAGCCTTCCTCCCCTCTTCCCCTCTGTGGTTTTTCCCTTTCCCTCCCTGACCATCTTTTCTGGGCCTTCTCACTGGGTTTTGTCAGGGGAGATCTCTTCTGTGTCCTCTTTTCCAACCCTTTACTTCCAGACCTCACTGAGAAATAGCAACTCTCAAATGCCCCTCGTGAAATAAACCCCTAAACTCCCAGAGTCACAAAAAACGTGCTATTGAGCCTTATCCTTTTTGAGCCTTATCCTTTTTGTCTAGCAACCCTTGCATCCCTACTAAGTAAATCTGAGAGTGAAGGCTGACTGAGTGCTGACTGCGAGTTGAGCACTGTCCCCAGCACCGTCTGGGTGTGGTCACAGGTGCTGCGTCTCCCAGATTTCCTTCCGGGACCAGACCCCCATCCCCCCAGGTGCTGGCTGTTACGGCTCACAGCAGTCTCTCGCAGTTGCTGCCTTGACAGAGGGAACTGACTGGTTTAAAATGAGGTTGTCCAACAAAGAGGTGACATGGGGTGCAAAGGCCCGCCCCTTGCTTCAGTGGGGGACTGCTCAGAAGGGCCATCCCATTCCAGATCATCCCCTGGGGCCCACTTCGGCATTTGCTTCCTCCTTCTGCCCAGCCCAGTTTCCATCCCACCTTCTTAGTTCCCAGAACTCTCCCCAGTGAGTCTCTGCCTCAGAGGAACCAAGTTTCCTGTTTCTTGGGGAATTCAAACTAAGAATTAAATGTATTTAGTCCTCACAACAACTTTATGAAATAAGTGCATCATTTATTCTAGAGACAAGGAAACAGAGGCATGGAATGGTTAAGAAGCTTGTCTAAGGTCTCCCATCAGTAAATGGAGGAGCCCAGATTTGAAACCGAAAAACCTAGATCTTACACTCAGGTGTGGCCTCTTTTGCATTGCATTGCAGGTGGATTCTTTACCACTGAGCCACCAGGGAAGCCCTCACATGCAGCCTCTTAATAGCAATCCCAAGGGGAAGCATCAAGAGGTGGGGAAACTGGGGAGAGAGGCAGGGCATTTATTACCTGTATCTCAGAGATGAAGATGCTGAACTAGCTAACAACTGCTTAAAGGCAGGATCATTCATTAGTTACCGAAGTGTTGGGATTTGGAGAGGAGCAGCGGAAAAAGTATGGTAAATTCATATCTGAATTCCTGCAAACACTCACTGTGTGACTTTGATCAAATTATTCAACCTGAGTCTTAGTAACAAGTACATAGTAGATGCTCAATAATAGTAGATGCCCACCTCCCCCCAAATACACACACTCTTTGTCTGCTCTTGCTAACTCTGATTTTGGGCAAGTCTCTTTAACGTTCTGACTCAAGTTTTTTCCATCCATAGAATGAGGTGATGATGACAAAGGGCTTACTTGGTTGACCCGAGGCCATCTGGGTGAGAACACAGTAAATGGAAGTTATCAGTATAACGATGATGCTTGTGCTGTCGGGCTTGCACGGTGTGCTCGGGTCCTTAGGGCCGAATAGGCTCAGGCTTGGGCTGTGATGGACCCCAGGTGTACCTCCCCTCTCCACCACCCCCACGCAAATTCTTCTGGCATCGCTGAGTTGGTTTCCTGCTTTTACTAGCTGCCGGCGGTTTTTTTTTCCCTACTAAACTGGGTGCGCGCATCTCATCTCCTTGTGACTTCTCTGCCGCTTCACCCTCCCCACGCCGGCGTCCGCTCGGAGGAGGGGGCAGCCCCGTGAGCACCCCCACGGGGCGGAGGTTGCACCCGGCGAGGACAAATCCTGGGCCGGGCGCCCCGCCCCGTCGCGCTCCAGGCCCCGCCTCCGCCTTCGCCCGCGCTCAGTACCGCTCTCCGATTGGTCGGCGGCGCGCAGCCTCTCCGCCCCCTACAAGAGAATAAAAGCCGCTGGCTCCGCGCATCCCTTTTAGTAAACCCAGACAGGCGCTGGCCGCCCTTTCTCTGTGCATTCGTGTTCTGCGGTGCCCACTGGAGCCCGCTACCATCGTCCCCAAGACGTGCTGCCCTGCATCCGTAGCCATGTGTCGGACCCTGGCCGCCTTCCCCACCTCCTGCCTGGAGAGGTAAGAACAGTTTGTCCAGATGCCTAGGGGAAGAAGAACAAGTCCCACCAACCTTAGGGAATGAAGCGGCAGGCTTGCAGACCTGGGTGGTCTGGAGAACGGGATGAAAGTGACTTGAGAGGCAGAGGTCAACTTGGTTCCACGTTCTCAGATGCCTCTCTTAGAGTCTCAGGGAAGGATGGGTGATGGGAACCGAGAAGGCAAAGCCAAGGGAAGCAGGGGGACCACTGTTTACTGCCATTCCCCATCATTCCTCTGACAAGTGGCAGTTCTACCTAGGTGACCTGCTGCAGGAAGACCGCGGTGGCATCGCCAGGCAAGACTGAGTCTTCCCCAGTTTCTTAAGCACTTGGTTTTCATTCTAAGTTACAGATCTAGGGGCATGGCTTCCTCTGATCCTGGAAATACAGGGAACTGTTTTTCAGGCCCTCAGCGAGGGATGTCCCCACTTCCCAGGGAGCTACACATCCACTCCAGTCCTTGCTGGAGCCAGTGGCTGGGAAGGAAAAAGTAAAGATGAAGGCAGAAATCAGCTTCCACACAGCTCCAAAAATATTTGTGACAAGCCTAGAGAGTACTGAATTGCCTTGTGCTAAATCAACAGGCACAAAAAGTATGACTTAAGTGGGGAAGATACGTGTGCTCTACTGCAAACCCCCAACCTGTAAGACAACCAAGTCACGGCTCAGATGTTGCTTTCGTTGTTTCTGGGCTCATGATGCTGATGAGAGAGGTGAAGTGTAGACCCTGGGAACAGCTATGGGTTCCCAGGAACCCTCAGGCTTGGAATTTGAGTGGCACAAACCTGTGCTCTTCTGGGGCTTCATGAATCTCTCTGCCCTGGCTGAGCAAGGGGAGAATCCTCACGCGCTCATGCTTTGCCTTCCAGAGCCAAAGAATTCAAGACACGGCTGGGCATCTTTCTCCACAAGTCAGAACTAGGCTCCGATACCGGGAGTGCTGGCAAGTTCGAGTGGGGCAGTAAACACAGCAAAGAGGGGTAAGTCTTGCTGACCAGCCCGGAGCCCCTAGAGGGAAGGAGCCAGATTTAGGAAGGGAGTCCTGCGAAGGAAAATACTAGGGGAAATTAGGACAGACCATCGTGGACCTTGGTGACCTCTTCCTAGAGATTGTAATGAAACTTCTTGCTGGTCTGCTATGGCTGTCTGGCTCAGGGGTGGCTGGGTGGATGGCTCCAGCCTTCTAAGTCCACCAAAGAATGAAGATACCCAGGGTTGGAATGTCTAGTTACCAGATTCTCCCGTCTGGAGATGCCATTGCATGTGTGACCAGGGCAAGAGCAGGGCCCAAGGCCACTGGACCCTGCTTCTCCTTGCATGCACTTTCCCAGGAAGCCCGGTTATATTGACTGTGGCAGGTGCTGTGCTGGGCTCTGGGGTTGTGGATAGGCATTATCTCTATTCAGGAGACCCTTATTTCCTTGAGAATGTGTAGAAAACAAACTGAGAGTTAGGGGAATTGGAGGAATTTTGGACAGCAAAAACACAGTCTTAGATATTTACTGAGGGCCGGAAGGTCCCCACTTTGGTTTCTGATTACTAGATTGTCCACTAGAAAACACAGCCATTTCCCTAAACCTCAGCAAAAAGTTGGGGAGTCTGAGGAGTCAGCTCCGATAATTTCACTGAGCAAGCCTCCGTGTGAATTATACAACTTCAGAGTTCTGGCTAGGATTTGTACTGTGTATTAGTTTGTTGTTTTTTAAATTAAAATCTTGTCCCCCCCCCCCTTTTTTTTAGCAGAAACTTCTCAGAAGATGTGCTGGGATGGAAAGAGTCATTTGACTTGCTGCTGAGCAGTAAAAGTGAGTTGTGTCTGTTGTGTCTGTGGGTGGCACACGGGTGGCACATGGGTACCCATGTGCCACAGAGCCAGCCTGAGGATGCTGAGAACGTGGGCAAAATAATAGTGATAGTAATAATAATCCCCTAGTGTGTCAGCCTCTATCCAGAATACAAAGGCAGGTCCTTGTTCGAGAAAATTACATCCCCAAAATAGAGTCATTAACTACAGTTGCCGTCTTTTCTTCTTTTATTCGCGGCTGGCTGTCTCCACTGTCTGACCTGCCTCTTCCTCTCTCCCTGCAACCCCAGATGGAGTGGCCGCCTTCCACGCCTTCCTGAAGACAGAGTTCAGCGAGGAGAACCTGGAGTTCTGGCTGGCCTGCGAGGAGTTCAAGAAGCTCCGGTCCACTACCAAGCTGGCCTCCCGGGCTCACCGGATCTTTGAGGAGTTCATCTGCAGTGAAGCCCCCAAAGAGGTCAGAACCATGACCCATTCCAGGGATCGTGCAGACTCTGCCTGCTTCTTCCCTGCTGAGAATTGGGGATGGTCAGGGGCCAGTAAGGGACGGGCTGAGTTTAGAAGTGGAGTGGCCTTATCTGACACAGGAGGCTGGAGATCAGAAAAGACGCTCCAGGCCACCCCTGGGTACCGTTACCCTCAGAGTCTTCAATGGGACTGGAGGGGTTGGCAGGGGTTTTGGCTTCTGTCCACACCCACTTTTGTAAACTAAGCCCTTTTTAGAGACTCAGAATACTTAACACAACTGTGGAGACAGGTCATCGTAGGATAACCTGACTCAGTCCCCCAGCTGACCTGCCTCACTCACTCAGGTCTGTGGTTGGTGACCCTTTCAACCTTCCTTCTGGCCTCCACCGTGTTTGATAAGGAATTTGACGCCACCTTGTGGAGAGAGGGTGGTAATGGCTTGCTTTTGTATCTATTTATTTTCTGAGCATTTTTATTTCACTCATCAAGATATGTTGGGCACCAGTTACATGCAAGGCACATTTATAGTCATCGAGAATATGACAGTGAACACAAAGCCTCTACCCCAGTGAGAGAAGATGACAATAACCAATTAAATAAATATTGCCAGGGGGTGATCTGTGCTCTGATAAGAAGAAAGCAGGCTATGAGAGAGGGTACCAGGGTACAGGGTCGGAGGATGTGACACAGGAAACAGGAAATGCAAAGACCAGAGAGTGCCTTTGTGATCACAGGCCAGCAAGTGGGCCCACGTGGAGCGGGAAGTGAGGGAGAGAGTGGGAGGTGATGTCACACAGGTGGCAGGCGGCCAGGTGCTGGTCCAGGTAGCCTTGAGGGCTCAGCACCCATGTCGGCCTTTTCTTCGAGTGATGGGGAACAACAGAACTGCTGGCAAACTGACTTGTGTTTTATAAGGTTCTCTTTGCCGCTAGGTGGAGGACAGGGTTCAGGGGAGGAGAGAGAGACCCGATAGGTGCTGGCACTAGCCTAGGAGAGAGGTGGTGATGACTTGAACCTGGGTTGTCACAGAGAAACAGGTGAAAAGAGGGTGGCTCTGTACCCATTCTTAACATCTCCTGGGTTGTTCTGAGAGAGTGGAGGGTAGAAGTGAGGACAGGCCCAGAGCTGAAAAGCCCATTGATGGTCGACGCAGCAGACCCCCAGTTCCTGGTTCAGAATCCAGTGCTCCTTCCATTGCCCCCCCCCGCCAGGCCTGCCAGCCCCCTCACCTTGCCATCCCTGGCCCTGACCCCCCCAACCCACCCACGTGCTTGTCCTCCTTCCCACAGGTGAACATCGACCACGAGACCAGGGAGCTGACTAGGACGAATCTGCAGGCCGCCACGGCCGCGTGCTTCGACGTGGCTCAGGGGAAGACGCGGACCCTAATGGAGAAGGACTCCTACCCGCGCTTCCTGAAGTCCCCCGCTTACCGGGACCTGGCCAGCCAAGCCACCCAAGCCATGGCCGCCTCTGCCTCCCCGTCCAGCGGCAGCCCAGCTGAGCCCTCGCACACCTGAGCCTCAGGGCCTGGAAGGAGCCAGCCGGGCAGAGAGACTGAGTCACCCACCCCCGAGGTGCTGTCCCCGTGGGGGAGGCAGGTTCTGCAAAGCAAGAGAGGACAGCGACGGAAAAAGCTGACCTGGTGACACCCTCACCTCCAAGTCCTTGGGACTGAATTCCATGCATGAGAGGGTCACCCCACTTCTAGGACCTGTGGACCAGGGCTGAAGATGAGGCTTGTGTGGGGCTCTCGAGGGGGGAAGAAAGATGGTGCAAGAGTCATCATTGGCTCTGGCCATTCTCAACAGGACAAGGGATATTCCCAGGGGGCTTTGCGAAGTGCATGGATAAAGGGGAACTTGAAAATGAGGGAGAGAAAGACAACCAGGTTAGCCAGTTTTGCCTGTCGAATGGTTGACCTGTTTTCCTAATTCCCGGACTGTCCTGGGCATGAACGGAGCCATGGATGTGGAGTCTTCCCATCCTGACCTCCTCACCTGCCTCTGGGCTACTGGGAGGGGGATGTCCTCTGCACTTCTCAACACTTCTGTGTCCAGCCTGACCATCTTGTCAAGGCCAGAGAACCAATGTGATGCTTGCCCCGAATGAGATATTTACCTCAAAAACTGGCTTTCAAGCCCCTCTCCTAATCGGTAGAGAGCCCTGAAAACAGGCCATCTTGCTCATGCGAAATGACCCTTGGTGCTCTTGGTGGGCTCTTGCGGGGGCCCCTGACTCCATCTGTGCTGCCGGCTCCACCTGTGAGCAGGACCTGCTGAGAGCCTCTTGCTGGGATGTGCCCCCTCTTAGCTCTGAGCTGCCCGGAGGAAGGCGTGGGGCCCCTTGGTGAGTGGCTGGTCCAGCCCTTATGCTGGGCAGGGTGGAACGAGGGAGAAAGGGCTCCTGGGAAACAAACCTCATGGTAGTTCCAGAAAGTCCTGTTTAAATCAAGCTAATATTTTATTTTTGTGAGGATGAGAACAGGGAAAAAGAGATTCCCCAGGATGGAAGGGGAAGCTTGTGTTTCTTTCCTGTGGATTGCGGGCGGTGTACTCACTGGGGTGTCAGTGAGAAATGAGGCAGGGACCTTGATGAACCTGGACGGCCTGTAGAAGCTGGGAATGAAACTGGGGCGGAGAGAGGCTGCTGACAAGAGCAGGACTAGGGAAAATCAGAACCTGCTTGTCACCCCAGGGCATCACCAAACACCCTTTCCCTGGTGGGACTTCTGCCCCGGCTGGGCTGGGGAGGTGAATTAACCAGGCAGCCCCCTCTTGTCCCCAGGGAAATCCACACTGTTCTCTCTGCACTAGGAGCTCCTCCAGGAGAAAAGTATTTAAGCCTAACATATTGTTGGTTTTGTGACAGTGGTCATGGCACATTATTTTTTATTGCTGTTGTTGTGTTGTTGCTATTGTTATTTATTTCCATTTGTGTGTCTGCCTCTTCTGGAGAATCCACGGGAGCTGGTAGCCTGGCTGTCTCCCTCTTTCCAGCAGACACTACCTCTTGAAGTGCTGGGAACCTCTTAGCGCCTGTCAGGAACTCATGGCCATTTAAATATTTATTTATTGTTGACAACAGGAGCTGGTTTCCTAGATGTGAACGATGTACTTATTCAACCCCCGTTTTCCTATTTCAGCATGTTATTTTATTGTGAAATAAAGATAAAACCCAGACATGAGATCCTGTCTGCAAGGCCGTGGTCAGGGGAAGAGGGAAGGGAAGTGCTTGGGGCTGGGGGTACCTTGTGGGAGAGCTGGTCTCCAGAGATGTCACAGGACACATGGAGAAGCTTGCTGGTGTATGGGCAGAGGCGCACGTCCAAGGCCTGTTTGCCTGGTGACTGGTTCTAACGGTGGCCACCAGGATGGTAACTTCCCTTCAGCTGGTGACGGCCCAGCTCATGTCAAGCCATTGTGTCCTGTTGGCGGTGAGCCTGGCCTGGGACCTGGGACCCGTTGCTGCAAGGCTGCAATGCTTGCACCTGGATACACGTCTCCTGCAGCAACAAAATACAAAGGAACTGTGGGACTCAAAAGAACCGTGTGCATGCGCAGCTGGGGCAAATTCTGGACCCAAAGATACAAAGAGACCAAAAACCACAACTGCCACTTTTGAGCAGCCTAGAGCAAAAATAGGGTACTGCGCAAGGGCCCTGCACACACCACCACCTAAGGGGTGGACAGACAGCTAGACGACCCCTCCTGCCTAAGCCCTGAACAACACTCCTACCCTCACCTCATAAAGGAACCAGCTCCCCGCTCCTCAGGGAGCGAGCAAGCAAGGGAACCTGTTGTTTGCTCTCGCTCCCCGCTGCTGCAGCAGGGGCCCCAGTTGAGCCATGTCTGAATTTCTTGTCTGGCCTCCAGTCAATTTCTATTGATTGGGGAAGGCCAAGAACCCCAGCTGGTAACAGGTGGACCCGGCTCAGCTGTCATTTCAGAGCCCATCTCCTCTGTCCACCTGACCCAGCATGAGCCATTCCCAGTTCTTGGAACATCAAGGGGTGGTTTCCCCTGGCCAAGTAGCCACACATTGTCAGTTGGGGGCGGGGGACTTCTGTGATATCTTCACCTTTGCCCATTTCCAATTTGCATCATTGTACTTTTGGGCTTCCCTCATAGCTCAGTTGGTAAAGAATCCACCCGCAGTGCGGGAGACCTGGGTTGGGAAGATCCCCTGGAGAAGGGAAAGGCTCCGCACTCCAGTATTCTGGCCTGGAGAATACTGTGGACTATATAGTCCATGGGGTCACAAAGAATTGGACACGACTGAGTGACTTTCACTTCACTGTGAATTCAAGGAATTAGCATTCCTTATAATTTCATAGATATCTCTGAGATGAACTTTGGGAAGCCACCTGATGCTTGGGACTGCTCCATTCCCAGGGAAGAGAATGAGCAGTTTGTGCTGGGCTAGAAAGAACTTGGCGTTAGGCTTGCAAGGATCAAATCTGCTCTTCCTCTGCCAGTCACCTCCTTTTTCTCCCCAAATCTTCTCTAAGTTGAATTATCTGTTTATATACAAATCTAGGCCTTATATTGACTTATTTTCCCCTCATTGTTAGTCTGTGGAGAAGGCAATGGCAACCCATCCGGTACTCTTGCCTGGAAAGTCCCATGGACGGAGGAGCCTGGTAGGCTCCAGTCCACGAGGTCGCTAAGAGTCGGACATGACTGAGCGACTTCACTTTCACTTTTCACTTTCATGCGTTGGAGAAGGAAATGTTACCCCACTCCAGTGTTCTTGCCTGGAGAATCCCAGGGACAGGGGAGCCTGGTGGGCTGCCATCTATGGGGTCGCACAGAGTTGGACAGACTGAAGCCACTTAGCAGCAGCAGCATTGTTAGTCTGAGTAAAGTGACCAGACTTCAGGTGCATTAATTAGAAAAGCCCATGGACTCACATTCGAAGCCCAGATCTAAGGGGCAGTTGTGTGTGTGATGCCAGGAGGGATTCTGAGGTTAAAGGCCGGGAAGGAAGATGGGAACAAACACCAGGGCAGGCCCTGATCTCGTTTAGTCCAACGACAGCTCTGTGAGGTAGGTGTGATAACCCTATGATACAGACAGGGAATCTGAAGCTCCCAGAGGTGGGGTCTGGGGGACCATGCCCAGGGAAGCTGGTTTGAGAGTGGGGCAGAGATGAGATCTGAATACAATTACACCAATGGGGGGGTGGGGAGTCCAGCCTGTGAGAGATGGTCAAGGGATATGATGCGTGAGAGAAGAAAAAAGATGATACCCAGAGAGTCAGGAATCTTGTCCTCATTACTTTCCTTCCACCTTTTTGCCTTTTTGCGACCTTTTTGTGACCCCATAGATGGCAGCCCCTCAGGCTCCCCCGTCCCCGGGATTCTCCAGGCAAGAAATCCGGAGTGGGTTGCCATTTCTTTCTCCAATGCATGAAAGTGAAAAGTGAAACATGCATATATTGCATCTAGTGCATCCTGCATGCCTGGCAGAAAACCAAAAATAGCTGTACCATCAACTGCAGCAGCCTCAGTTAATGGTGGATGGTGATTCTGGGTAAGTTCAGACAAGGGCACAAATGTGTATTTTCTGAAGCAGTATAGGCTTCCAAGGTGGCTCAGTGGTAAAGCATCTGCCTACCAATGCAGGAGACTTGGGTTGAGATCCTGGGTTGGGAAGATCCCATGGAGGAGGAAATGAAAACCCACTCTAGTATTCTTGCCTGGGAAATCCCATGGACAGTGGAGATTTGTGGGCTATATGCGTGGGGTTGCAGAGAATCAGACACGAGTGAAATGACCGAGCATGCATGTATGGGTGCCAGTAGGAAATGGTGGGTGTGGTTGGCAAATGGTAGAGAAATGAACGGGGGGAGATGGACTTCCAGGGACGGAGGTGGGTACTGGCAGGCTCTTCATCCAGTAAGTCCATCCTCAAGGCTTGTTGCCCTCTCCTACCTAGCCCTTCTTCACATACTGGGTGGTCTTGAAGCCCATGGTGTAGCCTCAAGGTAGTAGATACCCATTAGAGATAAAGAAGACTCTTGGCTGACCTTGGAGACCAATGGCTCTTGGTCTTTCAGGTGTCAGGCTCAGACCAAACACAGGACCCCTATTGTTCTCAGAGTGTTTAAGAGATTTCCTGAAAAACTTGCAGCCAGCAAGATGTCTCCAGCATCTTTAAACTCACCAACTCAGTTCATCCCCACAGCACTTCAGGCTTTGGCTTAGCACCCAGAGCCCTTCTTGAGTGGGCCACCTATGCTTCTCTGGCCTCTGCTCCCTCACCTGCCCCTTGAAAACAAATCGTTCACGGTTCCCACACTCACCCTACTGTTCAAGCCTCCTTGCTTCTGCCTCCTGGCCCACCTCCCTGCTGTGTCGCCTACTCTCATCACAGCAACCCACGGCCTCCTCCATCAGCTTAGGGGAGCAACTTTCAAAAGCTGGCCCAAGGGTCTTTCTGGGGTGCCGTCCCTGAGCCTTTGGGTCTGATCACGGATGTCTGTGCTTCACCTGTCCCCGCTGTGCCAGTCTTTAGCC